CCCTCCCCCCCCCCGCCGTGTCCCCAGGAAGCCATCATGGACGGGACGGAGATCGCGGTGTCCCCACGCAGCCTCCACAGCGAGCTGATGTGTCCCATCTGCCTGGACATGCTGAAGAACACCATGACCACCAAAGAGTGTCTCCACCGCTTCTGCTCCGACTGCATTGTCACTGCCCTCCGCAGCGGGTACGACGGGACACCGGGGGACAGACGGACACACAAATGACATCAGTGTCACCTTCCATCCTCTCTTCATCCCTTCTTTTTGTCCTCAGGAACAAGGAATGTCCAACTTGTCGGAAAAAATTGGTTTCCAAGAGGTCCCTCCGCCCCGATCCCAATTTTGACGCTTTGATCTCCAAGATCTACCCAAGTCGCGACGAGTACGAGGCCCACCAGGACCGCGTCCTGGCCAAGCTCAGCCGGCTCCACAACCAGCAGGCCCTCAGCAGCAGCATCGAGGAGGGGCTGAAGATGCAGGCCATGCACAGGTAGGACCTTCTCGGGCAAAGCCACCGTGCCGGCTGGTGGTGGAAGGTTGGAGGAGGTGGGCTTCAGACGTTCCTTCCAACCTAAATCCTGTTTTGAGGAACCTGAGGAAGAACATCTCCAACCCCATCAGGTTCCTTGAAACAGGGTTTGGGTTGGAAGAGACCTTTGAAGGTCATCTCAACCAAGATCTGGTTGGAGATGTTCCTCTTCATGGAGTTGATGGTCTTCAAAGGTTCCTTCCAACCCAAATCCTCTTTTGAGGAACCTGAGGAAGAACATCTCCAACCAGATCTTGGTTGAGATGACCTTCAAAGGTCTCTTCCAACCCAAACCCTGTTTCAAGGAACCTGATGGGGTTGGAGATGTTCTTCCTCATGGAGGAGATGGTCTTCAGAGGTTCCTTCCAACCCAAACCCTGTTTTGAGGAACCTGAGGAGGAACATCTCCAACGAAATCTTGGTTGAGATGAGCTTCAGAGGTTCCTCCCAACCCAAATCATTCCATGATGGTATGGATGAGGTTTTGAGGAACATGAAGGGGCTGGAGATGTTCCTTCTCATGGAAGAGATGGTCTTCAGAGGTTCTTTCCAACCTAAATCATGTTTTGAGGAACCTGATGGGGAACATCTCCAACCAGATCTTGGATGAGATGACCTTCAAAGGTTTTGAAGAGCCTGGTTGGGTTGGAGATGTTCTTCTTCATGGAGGAGATGGTCTTCAAAGGTCTCTTTCCAACCCAAACCCCTGATCTGGTTGGAGATGTTCCTCCTTCTCGAGTAGATGGTCTTCAAAGGTCTCTTCCAACCCAAATCCTGTTTTGAGGAACCTGGTTGGGTTGGAGATGTTCTTCCTCATGGAGTTGATGGTCTTCAAAGGTTCCTTCCAACCCAAATCCTGTTTTGAGGAACCTGAGGAGGAACATTTCCCACCAGATCTTCGTTGAGATGACCTTCAAAGGTTTTGAGGAACCTGATGGGGTTGGATGTTGTTCCTCATGGAGGAGATGGTCTTCAAAGGTCTCTTTCCAACCCAAACCCCTGATCTGATTGCAGATGTTCCTCCTTGTCGAGTAGATGGTCTTCAAAGATTTCTTCCAACCCAAATCCTTGACCTAGTTGGAGATGTTCTTCCTCATGGAGTTGATGACCTTCAAAGGTTCCTTCCAGCCTAAACCCGGCTTTGAGGAACCTGAGGAGGAACATCTCCAACCAGATCTTGGTTGAGATGACCTTCAAAGGTCTCTTCCAACCCAAATCCTGCTTCGAGGAGCCTGGGTGGGTTGGAGATGTTCCTCCTCATGGAGGAGATGGTCTTCACTGGTTCCTTCCAAACCAAATCCTGTTTTGAGGAACCTGGTTGGGTTGGAGATGTTCCTCTTCATGGAGGACGTGTTCTTCAAAGCTCCCTTCCCACCCCGATTCCCGGCTCCCACCCTTCCCCGTTGACCCGTGTTCCCGTCCATCCACCCCGCAGAGCCCAACGCGTGCGGA